GTGAATGCTTGGAGATTTCTGCTGCTCCCATTTGAAATGTTTCAGCCTTTTTCTAAACTTTTAGAGTTGAAATAGACTATTGAGCTGCTTTCCTCTTCACTGTCCCTTGTCAAAGACAGCTTGCTGCTTTTCCCCCACTCATACCCTTGGTGACGACATCCCGTTTTATCACTTACTCCACAAAGTCCTCTTTGCATCGCTGTAGGAGGTCACACGCTTTCCGGATCTCTTGCTCGTTCAGAAGTACCAGCGTCCCAAGAGTCAAGTGAAGCTTTGCAGGGTTCTGGAACAGGCTGCTGCTGACCCCATGATCCTACAAATCAGTCAATCAATCATACATAGGTGTCTCATCTCACAGATACAAACTTTCCCCCCTCCATCAGAGGGATAAACACTACAGAGAACAGGTACCAAGCCACTGGCATCAAACCTTTTCTCTCTGCATCACTGGTCGGGTTGGTAGTGACTCGAAGTTGAAACGAGAAACAACATTTCACAGGCTTTGCGAGCAAGCGAGCTCAGCCTGGCAGACAAGGCATGGTCCCCCCTCCGCACGCACGCTCCCTGCCTGGTTCTTTGTCGGAGCTGCTGAACAGCAGCCTGGCAGCTCCTGACAACAGGCTCCAACTCAGGACCCGGGAACAGCAGCACTCACTCATACGGGGTTTCGAGAGGAGACTTCCACAGTCGTCAAAGCGGCAGCTGCCACCAGCAACGAACCCAATACAAGTCAGCACAGATTTAAAACTCGAGTTAAGTCCATTTTCTGAGCAATAAAGCTGGAACCAGCTGTACTGACAAGCTTTAAATGGTCTCTAAATCCTATCTAAACACAGGTTGCACCCCACAACACAAGCACAGCTAATACCAGCTCTGATAATCACATTTTTCTTTTTCCCATGTGCCCTATAGTTTGCCGAGATGAATTAAGATTAAGAATGAATTATGACATTCCCTTTATAAGAAGAGTTATGTGTTGTTGCTGGGGAAGAACTGTTCCCAGGTGGAGCACTGGTTACATTCAGCTTTAAAAAACACACTCTTTTGTTCGTGGTTATTTATAAAAATACCTTGAGGATGGTTAACACACCCATATTAAAACCATTATTTCCACTTAGTGGCCATTTCCCATCAGTGCATTAAATAACCTTCACTTTTAACTTCACAAGAAGCCAACACCACTTGCCAGGCCTCTTGAAGCCTTTCTCTGTCTGAAAAAAAATCCAGCGACTGAGAATGACAGCTTTGAATTTTCTAGCTGTGCTTCAGAGTTTGAAATAAAACCTTTCAGATGTTTAAACACTGCAGTATCTCAGCCCGTCAGAGTTTAATGCCCCACAACTCACTCAGCATTTTTCAAGTCTAATGACAACATCCATACTCTTCTTTACAGCGGTGCTTACAGGCTCGACTAGAGACGAGCCAGCCTGCAACATGGAGTCCAGTGGCTTGCTCCAGCAGCCACAGGCTGGCAAAGCGTGGTAGACCCCAGGAGAGAGCACGTACACACCTTCCACTGCTGCTAATTACTTTATTGCTGACTGAAACCCCAAATCGTACCATGCTGGTAGTGGCAAAGCATGTTGCAAACCTCAGCACTGTGCAGCAGCCTGAAACAAGCACAGACTAACAACGTCAGGCGCATCAGGAGCAGAGGAAAGAGGGATGGCTCCATCTCACTTCTCCCCACCTTCCCTTCTCTGCGGTAAAAGCCTTTCGGCTTCCTTTAATTCACACTGCTGTTAACATGCATGACAGGACATGATTTCTCTCGCCAGCCTTTTTTCTCCAATGGTATCTATAGCCAGAGGGTATTTGGCTGATCACAAAACAATAGCTCAGGTAACAGAAACTGGGAGAAAGTTCGATTTATCCTTGCCATGGACAACCAGCTGATGTCACTCCCACAGAATGCACAGATGATGTACAGTAATGAGAAAGTAGTTTGCAGATCAGAAAGCAAAAGCCCTATCCTCCTTTTCTGCCCCAGCATGATTTGTACTGTAAACATCAACCTGCCCCAGAAGCAGCACTTTCCCTTGAGCTTTTCGACACCTGAGTGTGGGCTGACAGCTAACAAAGTGATGGCATGTCACCTCCACAGGCCACGCTACCGCTGCTGGGGAGATTAGCAGGGAAGAGCAGCGCACAGTGAGCAGGCCACGACCTAGATAATCTTCCTGGTTTACTCCCCAGTGTTTCAGGCAGCTCCTAAAAACCCTGCTTACACCCCTGCTCTTTCACAGGCCAGCAGATCCCACTTCTCCCACGCACAAAATTGATGCTACGTCAGAGGTAGCTCTCCCTGGAACAGGCAATGTTTCTGCGGGCGTCTTAGCAGCCCTTCACGGCTAGATGCTGCTCGTCAAGATGCAAAAAAGCCTCAACCCACTTATTTTGATCCCAGAGTACAATATGCTATCAGCAACCACTGTGTTACCTCACGGGAAGCCGCCCTGTCCAGTGGCACCAGTCCCTTGCAACCTGACCAGCAGGGCCAGCCAACAGCAATGCAGAGCCTATAAATATGCATTCGTAACTACTGCTAAGGAAAAATGATGTCCTCCTCCACGGAGAAGGAGCCCAAGAGACGTGATCCTGTCAACGTTGTGATTTTGGGGCTTTACGGACATCTTCGAAATACCTAAGGAACCCTCTCAAAGGTAAGTTACAACCACAAAAGCAGGAGTGAGGAGTGAGATTCAGCATCAGAGATGGGCAGAGGGATCCACCGGGATGGGCTCTAAGCCATGCTCTCCGAGTGCCTCTGGGCGACAAGCTCCTCTTTCACCAGTTTCCTCCCCTGTGCAGTCGAAGGTGGGCACCCCCCACAGCACAAGTCGCAGTGGCTTGTGACAAGCAGTGGCTTCCAGTCTTTATGAAAGCAGAGCAACAGCTTAGGGGAGGCGAGGTGTCACAGCAGAGAATCCCCATGTTCTGCAGGGGAATCTGAAAGCAGCGCATTTGCAGGAACTCGCTGGCAGATACAAACACATAAAACAGACTCTATCGTCTCTCTAGAAACTTACTGTTCAAACTTGGGTTGTCTAAGGATGTACAGAGAGGCAGGAAGAATATCCCCTTTATGCACCATCCGTACGTGATGCTTGTCCATTTTACCTTATGCGCCTCCCTGACACTGCCCTGTCACGGTCAAAAAAGCAACAACTCATTTCCACTCAGCCTTAAAAATTCATTTTTTAACTCCCTCATGCTACTTAGATTTCTACCTTTGCTCTCCTCCTTTAGAAGGAACATAGACAGGGTTTTCTCTGGAGTCTTCACCCGTCCTTGCAAAGCCCAAGCATGTTGTTCCTCCAAATCTAAGGCCCTGTAGTAGGGAAACCATAGAGCACAACACACTTCAGGCCTTCTACACAACAAGGCAAAGGATCAGACTCCTTGGGTCTTCCTCCCTGGCTGCATCCTCTCTACTGTCTTAAGAGCTTCCAATGTTTGCAGACAGCTTTATGGTTTTGCTTTTTTCTTAATAACAGGATACTGCATGCCAGCTCTATGCCCTCTCCCACCACCCTGATCCACAAAGGAGAGAGCCAGAAACACAGCATTTCCTCAGAACTGACTGAAGAGCTGCAGGCTGAATGACCCCTCCCATTTTCTGTCCCTTCAACTCTGAGATATAATATCTCATTAGCAATGTTTGATATTTACAGGTTGCCATATATTACAGCAATCGTATTTCTTTTCCATGCTACATATGCAGCCTGTTAAGACTGCAAATGCTGCATTTGCACAGCTGTGAAAGACCCAACTGTGATTTTTCACGGCATTATTACTGCAAAGTCTCTTCCCTTTTCCACATGCATAATCAGACAGACATTTCAGTTCTCCTCACTCCGACACCTACATGACTGTGCGAGGAGACTTCCAAGGTCATCCAGCCATCCTGACCTCCCACTGCACCACATCAGCCTGTCCAGGTGAGCCACCTCCCCATACTTACATTAAATTAGCCTCAAAAGAGCCTCCCCTCGGCCCTGCTTCATTGCCTGGCAGCTCTGACCACACAATAGCGTGAATGACACCTGAAGTGTTCCATATCTCAGTGTAAGATTCATCTTACAAAAGGTCTTCAAGACAGGAAAAAAAAAAGATAGAAAGCATATACACACAAACATAACCCTATGCTATAAAATATAAATGAATGGTTGTCATGGTAACTGCTTCAGAGAGAGACAGAGTCCCTCAGAAATGCTCAATGGCCAGAAGAAATCCTCACACACGCACACCTGGTCCTTTCCCTTCCTTACTATTATTACCGTGCTTCATTCAAAGACTGGAGTTTACCTAATTCTGCAATGTTTTGCACCAGCAAATTGCAACAGGAAGAGAAGCACGCCACTTCTGCCACTGAAACCTGTTAGGATTTCTCCAAGTATCCTGAGAAATCCTGTTGCTTTGGACAAATCTATAAGCTCTCTTATTGCTCTGTGAGGCACCGTTTTGAATTACTGTTTTTCATTACTGATGTGCTTTCTAGCAGACCCTGCTGTGACATAAAGTGGTATTAGAGTGGCATTACCAGCTGGCGGAGTGATTGAGACACATACAGGGCTGCAATATACTCCTTGAACAAACAGGCAGCAATATATCCAGAAACCGTTTTGCTAATACCAGGAGAAGGAAGGGCAGAAAAATAAAGCACCATGTATTCCTAGGTTAACATATGCAAACCCCATATACCTGCCACTGACCAAATTCCACATTTCAAATTAAAAATGGAAACTCCAGAGCTCATGTAAGCAGTACCGGAACGTTTCAGGCCCTCCTGAGAAGCTCAGGGCATTGAGCAGTGCTAACATGATGCTGCAGCTCCCAGGCCAGGGCACCTTGTGCCTACACAGCATACAGAGCAGGAACTACAGCCCCAGATCTTTTGCCTGCACCCATACAGACGTGTCCTGCTGTAGGGCAGCTTCAGCTGCCACCATTTTAGGAGATTCTCAAAAGCACCTTCATGACTCGGCAGCAGCCAAAGGCACGCAATGTCTTGAGCGTCACACTTCTCAGAGATATTGCTATTACTGGTGTTAGGAGCATTCATGCCCGGGTGCTGGTTCTGAGTTCAGCTGGAAGTCCAAGGCCACTGAAAGCCAGAGGTAGCTGTTCAGCTGAAACGTGTTCCCACGTGCACACCCATGCTGCAGGATCCCTGACCATGAAGCAGAACCTTGCAGGACTCAGGGCCGTCCAGATACAGAACAAAAACACTGCAGGAGAGACAGAAGGTCAGGCAAGAGGAGGAAAAATTAACATGACTAGCCTGGTCAGCAGTGATCTTAGCATTCCTATGACCAAGCCTTGGTTTCTGCAGCTTTCTAGGACAAGAAGCACACAAAGGTTTGCAGACTTTCCCAGGCAGCTCCTTCTGAATGTGACTGACAACATGGGAAAGCCCCAAGATAAATTCATGAATGTGTTTCTAAGTGGATGGCAGACCTCCCTGCCTACCCAGGGATGCAAACTGCTACTTAGGAGTGAGCAAGAGACAAACAATGTGACAGCCGCAGATCGGGAGGGGTCTGGAGAGCAAGTAAGACCACCAGCAGAGGCTGGGCCAAAGGAGGGCTGCAGAGATCGAAGCAGCAGGCAGGAAAAGTGAGTGCTATGCAAGGAGAAGAACGAGTATTGCAGAGTGTTGCAGGAATAAAAGCAGAGGATGAGAGCATGGATAACAGCATGAGCTGCAAAGATGAATATGAGGCTACACCGTAGAGATGTGACACTGAAAGACTTCACCTGACATCGACACAGCCTGGAAACCAGAACCCAGCAAGACGTACGGGATGACCCTGAGGTTACTGACCTGTGCAGCAGGCAGCTCTGGGCTTGCTGTCCACGGGGAGGGACAAGAGAGATCCACAGGACCTACTGGCAGACAGCTAGAGGGAAGAGGAGGATCAGATAAACGGAGTCCAGGACGCCAGTGCTTCAGGCAGAGCAGGGCCAGTCATGTCTGAAAGGACTGACAGGTTGAGGGAGATCAAGTGAAAGGACTGTAACAACCACAAGCCCAGTCAGAAGGGGCTAAAGGGCAAGAGAAACACCAGATTGAAAGCAGCAGTCTCAGTCCAGGGCCAACAGCGTGAACAGCCGCTACCAGAGCCCTGTGCTGCAGTTGCCAGCCCCCAAAGAGCCGCTTCTCTCCCTGTAACTTTGGTGTGTGCCCCCACAAGGACTGGAACTAGAAACCAACAGAGGGAGCCAGGCCACCGCTGATGCCAGCCAGATGTCTGTCACTCTCTGTCCAGTTAACACTTTCTCAGGCTGTTTCCATTCCCCTGTCTTCAAGGCTTTCCTTTAATAAAGATAAGCTTTAAAAAAGGTAGCTGCTGCTGCCTAATGGGGAAAGACAATCGAGACAGTGATATCTTCCCAGCCCGAGGAAAGGGTGCTCATGGCATTGCACTGGTTGGTAATCCCTGCATGTATTGGCCAATTTCAGCTGTATTTAACACCAGGTAGAAACCTGAGTGATAAAAACTCCTGAGATGTCACTGAAATAGGCAGCCAGGTGGAGAAGAGGGACTTAAATGAGAACAGCCAGGAAAGACAAGACTGCAAAGCCAGCTCAGTTCTGCTCTCAGAGATGAGACAATTGACATGCAAGTGAGCGTGAAAACTTGAGCAAGAACTCCTTTCTCCCCAGATACCAGATAATTCACACCAACAGCATGAAGCCATAGGAAACTAAACTTCTTCAGCTGTGCTACCCGCGAGATTCTATTTTCCTTTGAAAGGCACAAGCAGAAGTGACATATGCGAAGGCAATAATATCAGCCCACAAAACCCTGCTGCGTGTATGCAATCTAACCTGCAGCGGCCACACAAAGGAACTCTTCTCTCCTTCCTAGAGACGTCCTCCCAGCACTCCAGAGGACACGGCAACTTAATACCACCATTCCCTCTCCTCAGCCTGGCCCTGCGCACTGACACACCACTTCTGCCAAACCAGAACCATGCTAAAATAAACCAGGGAATACACAGCTTTCCCTTCATTCTGCTCCTCATTTCCCTATGCCTAACTATTTCCTGCTGCTCTCAATGCAAGATCTGAAGGCAAGCAGGAGGGACTGTCAGCACAAAGTCTCATGGGGAAGAAGGGAAGCGATTAGATTTGCAGGATGGCGTGTGCTACAGAGTCACTTCTTGCTCGGCTCCAGTAATGACACCCATCTTCCTTCACTGTCAGTAACCAAAAGAAAAGTGAAATAGAAGCAGCAGCAAACTTGTGAATTCCTACCTGGTTTCACAGTTATGTAGAAATCATATAAAATGTAGAAAGGTCGACTACATTATTTAGTGGCTTTCCTCTTAAAAAAACAAAAACAAACAAACAAAAAAAAAACCACAAAAAACCAACCCTCTTCTGAACCTTAGATATCCTCCCACCCAGGAAAATCTCTAAGGAGAATAAGATATTTTACTAACAATTTACTAAGTAAGCCATTGCACATTCCAGAAGATTTCACAACAGCACTCAACAAATTCACAGCAGACCCACCAACTTGAGTAAAAGGCCTGTTAAAAATACATTCCTAGGAAACAGAAAAGAATAAGGCCTTCAGGGTAAACACCAAAAAGGAAATAAATGAATTGGCACTCCGCCGAAGGGCTTGCACTTCATTTTAATTCCCACGTGGACACTTACCTTCGAGCACTTCTCCAACACTTCCTGCTTGAACTGCAGGAACTTCTCCTGGATGGCGGGCTGGTTGAGAGCGAAGGACAGGAAGTGTGTGAAGGGCTGCTTCTTACGGAAGCTGTCCAGGAGAACATCGACCCGTGTCCGGGCAGAGATGACACCGCTGCGATGCTGCCCTGTAATCACTAGAAGGGAACAAAGCAGGACCTGTCTGGTTTCTGCAAAGCTATGGTGAGACTACTGACACCCATGCCCATGCTAATTAAAGAGTAATTGAATGGATCATGATTTTAGACGATATTTATCCGTGCAATTTAAAATATTGAAGGACATTGTGAAGGTAAGAACATTTCACCCAGGAGACGCCAGGACGGAATTAGAAAAACCTGCACAACAGCACCTCTCTGCTGTTAGCCCCAGGCTCACTGAAGAAGCGACAGAAATTAAAACCCCCAAACATCCACAGAGAAATCTCACCAGGCTCCCTGCTTGACTTGAAATACATGACATGGCTGTGCTTTTCCCTGTAAAGACAGGATGATGCCATTGAAAGTGTCCCTCTGCTCTCAAGAAAGTCAGCTCTGAGTGCCTGAAAAACAATAACTAAGTCTATCACTTCAGCGGCTCTTCAGATTTCTAGAGCATTTTTTCAAGTTTTCATAAAGGCAGCCAAAGTGTAAAAGCAAATCTATCAAAGATCAAGATGGCCTATATAGTTTGTGTGTGCACTTCAAGGCACCAAACAGAGAACACTTGAGCTTGAAAAGCAAGAACTGCAAGGAGCAAAATTTTCTTGGCTTCCTATTATTACATGTTTTCAGCATCTCTCAACCTTTCTAATAGTCCTTCACTGTTCTCAGGAAGAAGTCAAGACCCACTTCTCGAGAAGTGCTGCCATGTTCCTGTGCAGTGTGACAGTCAGATCCCCCTGCCACTTACTCCTCACAGCTCTGCCACGAACGTAGCTGTACACCGTGCCGATTACCACCAGAGTGTGTATACAGGGCCCTCCAGACACCCACTCAGGCAGAAACCCACAGAGGCCAGCCCTTATGAGCAACGCTTCCTTTCTGTTTAAGTCACTGGAAGTGATGAGAAGGAACATACGGTGCAATAAAGCCTGCTCTCACTATCAGGATCAAGTGACAACACCAGAAAGGCAGCAGCGTCATCAAAACACTTCTCATATTAAAGCAGATGCTAAAGTTTATTTCATGCATAAATGTACAACATGGCAACTTTTTCTGGATGTACATTAGAGCTCCTCACTAATGGAAATGGTATTAATTTACAAAAAACAAACAACAAAACCAAAAAACCTCCCCAACACATTCAAGCCTAAAGTCCTCAAGCCAGTCGTATAAGGCCTAGAAGTGACTTCAGTGAGACCATCCATTGACTAAAAATAGATACTTCTTTTTTTCCCCCAAAAAAACCCCTTATACCGCTTTATAAGGATTTATAGACAGGGAAAATAAACTCAGAAGAAAAGTGAATTGATTTTTCAAAGGCCATAGAGTGAAATGCTTCCTCTGCTCCCTCCCTGCTCAAACTGCGTCTGCGCAAGCGCCGACAAGAGAACACTCATTCTGTGCATGTTAAAGCTCACCAATTTCTCCTTCCACTCCAGGCTTGGGAATGCTGATGGAGGTTCGAGTCTCTGTTTCTAGTCTCTTTTTGGTTTCCCCTTTCTTCCCAATGATGTACCTGGAGGCATGAAAGTGCAAGAGGGTCACTCACACAGTGTCGCTGGGCCACTCTCCATCAAGCCTGCCCAGCCAGCAGATTAACGATGCCACAGGCAGCTGGAACGCCCCAGACTCGGTATCTCCGTGCTAGAGGGATGCACACACTCAGCCTTGTGGGCAGGACCTGGTCCAGGCACAGAGGCTTCTCCTGGGACTCCGCCGTGACCAGCCTAGGAGCACAGGATTATGCTGAGCTGTGGCTCACAATCGGCTTAAGCTAAAACAAGTCAGTTGGGCCACGACAGCTCTGCCCAGCACACCCTGCCACAGCCTGTTTGTCAGCTGGGTTATCCCTTTGTCCCGTTACCCCAGCTGATGAAGAACTAAGGGCTCTCCGCCTGTTTTTTGATTCGGTGAAGGTAGCCATTTGCCGGCATCCAAATACACAACAGAACGTTTCTCCCTCTCTACATTTCAGTAAAACTATTCGACCAATAAAACTGTCAAAAATCACTAGATAAAGCTTCGAACGCTACATGCTTCCCAGTAAACACCAGATTGGAGTCAATAGTCAATTCCAGCCGCGTGTGCTTTCTCTCAAAGCTTTCACAAACTCCCCTGCCAGGCTGCTCGCCCCAGTTCTTCCTCCCCTTCTCCCACCCTCCCTGATGCTTTTATGTTCAAGGGAAGAGACGCTCAAAAACTCTCCTGCCAGCAAGAAAGCACCACCTGCTGCCTCTGTCACAGGGCAGGCTAGGAGTCAAGCATGGCACAACTGCACTAAAAAGGCATTGTCAACTTTCCCTTCCCAAACGTTAAAATCCACATCCACAAAACAGAATACATTTCCGAGATCTGGCGCTTACCCCGACCTCAAAAAACCCACTCTGCTCTCAACCGCTTCCCAGCAGCACCTCCAACCAGAAACACATAGGCTTACTTGTATAATGGGCTGGGAACCTCCACTCTGCACTGGAAGCCTTTCTCAGTCTCTTCCACCACAAAGGCATCACAGGGCTCGTCTGTGCAGTCACCACGGCCTAGCAGAAAAACAACAGACCTTGTACAACCTCTGTATAGTCTGGCAGTGCTCTATGTAGGACAAGAGTCTCACCACCGCCTTCTCCCAAGGTTAAATAAAGGAAGAAATGGAATCCCCTCTGTTGCAGCTAACTGCTTTTTATTTCACCTTACTATCAGCTCCCAAAAACATAATGACTGCTTCTAAATTCGCTGGGCTGGGAGGCATAGGAAAGTAGTAACTACTGCTTTCCTGTTTGTTTTTTTTTTTTCCTGGCTGTAACTACAGCCCAGGTTTTCTCTCAGCTGGAAGCTGCGCACCTACCACTCAGCGGGAATGGTCTCTTCTCCTGGCAGGGTGGAAGCCACCAGCCCATTCAGAGACCCAAGCAGGAATTTAGAGTCGTCGAAGGATACCAATAAAGGTGAGGACAGTTTTGGTTCAAAGGTTCAGGCACAGTGTTTTGGAAAACAGAAAAATCCTCACACCCTCATCACGGAGGAACAGAAGCACCTTTCATCCATGGGCCATTCAGTCGTGCCTGTTAGGACCAAACGTGACTCCCAGAAAGAGGCCGTGGTTTCTACCTCCTCTCCAACACATACAGTGATGAATCTGGGTGGCAAACAGCTTGTCAAAGCTTTGTTCAATCCACTGAAAGGCAGAGTGGAGGGAGAAACAGGACACAACGGCCACAAACCCTTTCCATTTGACAAACAGCAGCTGAGTTTTTCTGCGACCACAACAACTCACACAGAACTACAACAAACATATAGGCAGAAAGGTAAAGTACAGCACATTGGAACAGGAAGAATTTTGCCCCCAAAACAGGTAAAACCTTCCAAAAGCCACATTACAAGAGGTCTCTTCTTCAAGGGGCAAACACTGCAAGGACAGAGGATCTTTGGCAAGCAGCTTCCACTCCTGTCACATCTGCAAAGCAGCACACTATTGAAAAGAAAGGCACTTCAGGAACCTGGGGAAAATAGAGCTGATTTGTTTTCCGCTTTTACTGGAGACCTTTCATGGCCAGCAAGCAGACTGACTGACAGCAGCAGTGTCACCCACACCCACATCAGGTAACTGGGATTACGTCCACTCTTCGGTCAGCAGGATCATCAGGGACCAACACAAAGCATTTTTCTCCCTCTTGAACACCTCACTCCACCACACAGGCAGGCCCTCGTGCACATGAAGACACTGGAGACAACACCCAGAGCTCCCTGCATCCCCAGTGTCAATGCTTTCACCTGTAGCACGTCCTGACAGCGCTGCAGTCGCCCCTTGCGCAGCACTCTACCTGCACAGAAGTCCTCCTCCTCCTCCTCGTGCTGGTAGGCCTGCTCTTGAATGAGATTCTTCCTGTATACTCGCCCCCCAATCCTTATCAGGGTGGGCCGCAGAACGTCCATCCTGCTCCTCCTCCTAATGCAAAAACAAAGGCAGCTTTGCTAACTTATGCCAAGGAAAGGTACCTTTCAATGTTTCCTCACGGACAATTCATACGAGGCATCGGGGGAGCCCCCAGGGGCTCAGCAGTAAAGAGCGAGGTCTGTATCTCCAGTAGAGCAGTAACTCCTTCTATCCATACGTACAAGAGGCTTCAGAAAGGCAACACCTCAAACCTTACATCACTCATTCGAAGACCAATTTCATGAGAGCTTACAAGTATACTGTTTGTCAGATCGTAAAGCACAATCAAGTGAAAACGGGAAACCTACACCATGTAAGGTATGTAACGAAGCATCAGGATCTTCACCCCTGCAAGGTGGTTGGCAACTGATCATGGCTGCCCCTAAAACTCACAGGTTTTAGATAAGACTCACTGTGGCCTCGGTCACTGTGCCGTTTCAGGATTCTGAACGGTTTCACCTCATTATTTTCCATAGCTGGAGACCAAAGAGACCCTCGCCAATTGCAAGGAATCCCCTGCAAAACTGAGCTCTCTCAAAACACCTGCCATCCTCTGCTGGTTTCTCAGAGGCCTAAGGAGCTTCCCAAAAGCAAACCCAGTTGCCTGGATCTGCTCTGGAGGCGGCTGCAGAAGGGAAATGAAGTGCTCCAAGGGGTCGGTGTAAGTGGTTGCACCTCCTGCCCTCCACCTCAGAGCGCTGTGGTAAGTCTTATAGAGTCTTACACTACCCTGCATTGTTCCAAACAGCATTAGAAACACAGGGCACCGAGCTAAACTTCTCACGGCGGAGAACATTTAACAGTGTAAAAGCAAGAGAGCGATCCAAACAACTGGCAGTCATCTGTCAGAGACCACATCTTCAGCACTTCAATTTCTGTGTTTGCTGAAATTGTTAGTGTTGGGTATCTCAGCTCGTCTTGTTTTTAAAACAGAAATTTCTGTTACGTAGGAAAACAATGTCTCCACCAAAAATCTCGCCCTCATCAGAAGGCTCACCTGTCCTCTACAACAGAACCTGACAAGGAAGAATGAAGAGCCTGCCTTTGAAGACAAATTTATCCTAAAGGGGATTTACTGTATGTCGTGACATCAGGTTCAGAAGTTTAGTGCTTTTCCTCCCAATTAATGCCCCACCTTCTGAAACGACTTACAGCCCCCCGGACAGTCATCTAGACAGAGAGCCATTCCTGTAGCTCACGCACGTGAGCCACGTGCAGAGGAAGGCAGAATCACAGAATGGTAGGGGCTGGAAGGGACCTCTGGGGATTATCTAGTCCAACCCTCCCACCGAAGCAGGGTCACCTACAGCAGGCTGCACAGGACCGCGTCCAGGCGGGTCTTGAATATCTCCAGAGAAGGAGACTCCACCACCTCCCTGGGCAGCCTGTTCCAGTGCTCCGT